GCAGTGGGAACAGAGCTGGATACAGACACACCCAATCCTGTGTGGTCAGGGTTGGGGCAGTAGAGGGAGTCTAGGAAGGCTTCCTGGAGGAGAAGGTGTCAGAGCTGGCATTTTAGGCCATAGGTGGGGCTAAGGGCAAGGGTTCAGGGATAGGGTTCAGCTGCTAGGACAATAACAATGAGAAGCCAGATTCTCCAGCCTCCAGCAGAGCTATAGAGGGTACCAGAGGAGGGAAGTGAACAATGCATCCAGTTAAGGGGATCCCTGCAGTGGAGGCTGGAGCTGGTTTGGGGGCTACGCAGAGGGGCACATGCTGATTCTCGCCTGTGCCTACAGACCAGGATTGGCCTCCCCTAGCAGACTGAGGGAGGAGGCTGCAGCATCTGAGTCACCCAGTTCCTGTAAGAACATTCGGCACCCAGTGGCCCCATGTGGGCTGTCACCAAGTGGGAACACGGCCCCCGGAGCCCCTCCATGTTGCTTTCCCCATGGCTTCCCGCTCTCTGTTCCCACAGCTGTTCCTTCAAGGCCACAGAAGGAGAGTAGGAGGGGAGGGCAGGCAGAGAGGAGGCCAAGTAGGAATTTAGGAGCTTGGGGGGAAGGGAGCTTCCCTGGCTGAGGGTCCAGTGTGTCCTGGGGCTGTCTGGGCCTCAGAACTCTGTCTCAGATGGGAAAATGGAGAGGCTCGAAGAAAGGGAAGGTCTGCCCCCATTCTGCACACGTACGGACACCTGATTCTCTCTCAAGAACTGAAACCCTGCCCTGGAACTTGCAATGTAAATCTGATCATGTCCCTCCCTCTCTGTCTTCAAACTCTCCCATGGCTCCCCAGTACCCCTGGGACAAAACTCACACATTGCACCACCACTTATGAGATGTCACCTGGCTCCTGTGACCTTCTTAGCCCTCAGTGACCCCTAGTCTCTTCCCATTCACTCCTCTCTGACTCCCCTGGGCCCCCACTGTTTCTCCAACACACTCAGCCCATCCCCCACTCAGGGCCTTTGCATATGCTGTGCCCTCTGCCCAGAGTACTCTTTGTGAATTGTTATCCCCGTCTGACCCCTCAGGAAAGGTGCGAAGAGAGGAGCTCACATGTTCAGTAACATGCATCAAATTGATGGAAGTCGGGATTTGCACCCAGGCCCATCTGACTATCCACCCAAGCCTTCTCCCACCAGTGGTGCCACATTTAAAACAGGCCTCCAGAGCAGTGCACCTTAGAGCTGGATGATTCTCAGTCCCTCCAGGTCTTGCTGCGTCCAGCTGGGTGCCAAAGACTCTGAGGCCTGGGGCCCAAACCCCCCTGCTCAGGGAGCTCCTGGGCCAACCTGACCCCTAAATCTCCTACTACCCTCCTGATGTGGCCACAGTTTTTCTGCCCCACTTTCTGCCCTTCACGCAGAAGGATGGCGGAGACTTCAAGGACGACACAGCCAAAAATAATCAGTCCCCGACCTACCTCCCCAAAGTGGGGCAGCCCCGCCCAGCCACCTGGTACCGCAGAGGTAATTAGTGCATGTGGCAAATGAGGGTAATTAGGTCTGTGGGAACCAAACCACAGATCCAGGTTTGGAGTTTGGAGGGGGCTCAAGTGCTGCTTAGCCCCACCCCACCCCTATCCCTGCTCCTGGGAGCTCAAGCCTATAACCCAGTGTCACTTGCCCTCCCACCCAGCCCCTTCACGCCTTCCTGGAGACTGCTTGTTTAATGAATTAACCTTGGCCTTGTGCAGAATTTGAGTTGGATCTGAATTTAAGGTGGGGTCTCGCAAGTGATGAAAATCACCAATATTGAGTCATCAAATTCTCCTATGCCGTGATCCCCATGTATCCACTCCATGCTGGGAGATGCCAAGTCCAAGAGAAGCTGCAGCCCAGCCCTTGCGGTGCCTTCAGGCTGGGGGAGTGAGGGCTAGACACAGGCACCCCTAGTCCTTGGGATCATGGTTGGGTCAGAAGGAGGGAGGGTATCAGGGAGAGTCGAGAGGGAGACATGGGAGGGCTTCTCAGAGAAGAGGGCATTGGAGGTGGGACTTTGAGGGATGAATAGGATCTTCTCAGGATGCTAAGGTCTGGTGACTGGCCCAACTGGGCATGTCGGGGGGAACATGGAGAAAGAGGAGGAATGTGGCTAGAGGAGCATATAAGGGTCCCCTAGCTAAAGATTTAGAGGTTATCATGCCAAGTTGGACCTATTTCTGTCCTTGAAAGCTCATGTGTAGTTGGGATCCTTCAACCCCTGAAAGAAAATCTTGAGAATTTGGCTCAGGATCAAAACCATATGCCCAGACAGCCAAGAATAAATATAACGTTTATGGCAACCAGCATTTATTAAGCTCTCAGGGTCATGTTCTTTTCACACAAGGACTTGTTGGATCCTTAAAGGAAACTTCAGAAATGGGTACCATTTTTATGCCCATTTTATAGATGGAGTAACTAAGGCACAGAGAGGGAAAAGGCTTCTTTAAGGTCACGCTGCTAGTAAGAGGCAGGGCTGGGAGTCACTCCCTGGTCATGTGACTCTGGAGACCACCAAGGACCAAGACTGAGGCTTGGAGATCCTCTCCTTCTTGAAACATTTAAAGAGTTCCTGCTGTAGGTCAGGCTTGCTCTAGGTGCAGACCCATGGAAGAGGTGGACAGTAACCAAATCATGTCATAAACAGATCTAAGTGGCCACTGTCATCCACGCCACAGGGTTGGGCATGTGGCTTTGGGAAAGAGTGACAGACTCCTCCTGATCTGGTGGGACAGGAACCCTCCAGGGAAGAGAGACAATTTAGCTTCAGGCCAGAGGTGGGTCAGCTTTAACTAGGCAGAGGCCAGAGTCTAACGCATAAGAGCCACTCCGCAAATGCAGCTTCCCTAGAGCTAAATAAACTGCTCAAGTCTCTGCTCGGTCCCTTCTGTGACAGGAAGTTCGTTTTCTTATATCCTCTTTGAGGCCCAAGGGAAAGTTATCACTTCTTATCAGCCACTCTGGGGTGGTGGCCTCTGTCCACCCTGTAAGGACATCCCTAGGCAGAAGAGGGCTCAGGCTGGGGTGGAGGTGGCAGCTTGGGGCAGCCCCCTACCTGACTCTACCCAGAGGAGGGTGAAGAGCTGCTCATGTTACCTGGATTCTCCTGCCTCCTCCCTCTATCCCCAGCCCTGCAAGCATCAGCCCATTCTCCAGGTGAAAAAAGTGAAGTCCACACTGACAAAGCCACTCCCTCAATTTGTACTTGAGTAACCCAACTTCAGGTCAGGGCTGCTCAAGGCGAGCCCCATCCCAACTCCTCCTAGAGGCCTGAAGGGGGCCCAGGGAAGTGATTCAACTCCCCACTCTCCCTCATGTTGTTGCCTTCTGCCCACACAAGGAGTAAAGTCGGCCTGGGCCCCTCTCCTGGCCACCCCCACAGAATGGCCGCCTGGCCCTGGCTCTGCAGCCGGCCAGCACTCAGCACACCCTGAGTGGCTTCCAGAAGCCTCGGTCCTGTGGGCACCTTTCCCAGTCACTTTTTTTTTATTTAATTATTTTTTTGGTAATAAGGAAAAGTCACTCTTTGCACAGAACAGACGGTATTTTCTTTGTTCCCCACAATGTTCAAAGCGTTTTGTGGCTTCAGGCCTGAAAGCCAAGCCAAATTCTTTCCTTGTGCAGATGCCTTGTGAAGTTGGAAGCAGCTGGGGAAACTGAGCCTGAACCTCAGTTTCCCCAGCAGGGGTGAGCAGTTCCTCTCATACTGGGGCTTGGGGCGCCAGGATGGGCTAGCCCTCCAAAGAGTGCTCAGACCTGGCCGTGATGGAAGTAATACACAGATAATACAGATCAGGGATCCCAGAGAAAGTGATGGGGGCCCAGTGCAGAACATGGCAAGATCCTTTCCAAGCCCCAGGTAGTCAGAGAAGCTTCCAGGCAGAGAGGGGCCAGTGGAGCTGAGCCTGGAAGGACAAGGCAGAATTTACGCCTGCAGAAAGGGCTTTCCAGGTGGAGGGAAGAACGTGGGCAAAGGTAACTCCATCTTGGCCTGGGAATAAGTCTCCAGAAACGACATGACCTGGAATTCACCTAAAGGTAATTTGAAGATAGCTCCCAGCCCAGATGTGTGATTCTTGTCAGGGGGAAACAGAAAGAAAATAGGGAAAGGAGATGGGACAGAGGAGACGAGAAGCAAAATCTCTGAGGTGGTCGGAAAATTCAAACATGAGGTTCCGAGCGTTAGGGACCTGCAAGCCTTGGTTCCGGGGAGCTGCAGCGCCTCTGTCCATGAACCTGATGGCCCTGCGTGACTTTGGAGGAGTCCAGAGAAAGGACAGCCACAGATGGACAAGTGGGTTCCACAGGTAGACTCAGGCCTGTGGAGGCTGATCCTGGCTCATCTCGAGAAGGACCCTCTCTTGGCAAGTGTACAAAGGGCTCTCCCTGACCAGAGATGGCAAACCCAGGCCTGAGGACCTCCAGGGGATTCACTCATTTGGTGGGAACTGGGCCCCAACATTCCATCTTCCTTAGGTTCTTGGGGCCCTACAACAGAGCAATACTGATAATTCCACCATGGTTGGCATCCTCCCCTTCGCTCTCTTGGGAGACAAGGTGGGCAGAAGCCCCTCCCCAACTGGGGATCAGAACCGGGTGGGAAGTCAGGCAGGAAGGATTCTGAACGGGGCACCGCTGATCAAGCCTTATTTAATACCAACTGTTTGCCTCTCTCAGCCTCTTCTAGCTCTCTCCCAGCCCGTGTCTCTTTCATTTCCTGGTAACACCCACGGAGCACCTACTGTGTGCAGGCACCCACCTCTGTGCGGTAGAGGTGCCCCTGCCCCAAATCCCTGTCAGGTGGAGAGGGACTCCCGTCAAAAGCAGGTCATGACCTCAGGCAGTGAGAGCCCTGGCAGCAGTGACGTGGAGGGTCAGGGCCACCCCTGACAGGACGATGAAGCCACATTCTCCACCTGTCTGTCTCCAGTGTCTCTCCCCGATATCTCTGCCTCTGGGTCGGGGTCTCTGTCCCCATCCTTAAGGGGCCCTTAACGCCCTCCCGCCGTTCCTGTCCCGCCCGCCTCCCGGCTTCCGCCCCTCCCTCTCCCCCTCCCCCCCCCGCGCCGCGGAGGGCCGGCAGGGGGCGCTGCGGGGCGGCCTCGGCGGCCCCGGGAGGCGGGGCGGGCGGCTGCCGCGTCGGGACCGGCCGCGATGGGACCGGAGGCGGCGCGGGCGGCGGCGGAGGCGCAGACAAAGGCGCGGGCGGTGCGGAGGGCGGCGCGGAGGGCGGCGCGGAGGGCGCGGGCCCCGGAGCCAGCAAGCGAGCGGGGCGCCCGGCTGCGGGGAGTCGGCGCCGCGGGGCAGCACCCGACTCGCGCCCGGACACTCGCGGGGCGCCGAGCTCGCAGGGTGAGCCCGGCTGTCCGAGCCTGCGCCGGGGACGCGGGGGGCCCGAGGTGCCAGGGCCAGGGGGAGGGCGCGGGGGTCCCCGAAATTCCGGACAGGGAGGCTGGGGGCGGCTCGCGGAGCCCCAAAATTCCCGGGCTTGAGAGGGCGCAGGGACTCCGAAGTTCCGGAGTCGGGGTCGGAGAGGGCACAGTGCGAGGGGTTCCCAAAGTTCCGGACCGGGCGTTGGAAGAGGCTGCGGTGTCCCCGACGTTCCGGGCCTGGGGTAGGGAGGCGGCACGAGGGGATCCCGAAATTCTGGACCCGGGGCTGGAGAGGTGGCAGGGAGTCCCCGAAATTTAGGAGTCGGAGGTGGCGCGAGGAATCCCCGAAGTTCTGAACCTGGGTTTGGAGGAGGCGGAGAACGTGTCCCTGAAGTTCTGGACCCGGAGTTGGGTCGGAAGTTCCCGGGTCGAGGGTGGCACTTCCCGAAATCGGGGCGCGTATTGGGCGCCCCGCTTCTGACGCGAATGGGAACTCCTTCCTTACTGAATATCAGGCCCCCCGGACTGGGGCGCATGGGGTGGGGCTTCGCCCCCACATGCGATTGGGGATCCTGGGCACCGGGCGGGGTCGGGGCCTCCTCCGGGAGCCCCGCGGGTCGGCGGCGTCCGAGGCACATGACTAGTTGGTGAGTAACTTTCCCCAAAGCTGCAAGTCGCGGCAGGACCGTCAGGGCCGGAAGGGCCTGAGTTTCTGGGACCCCTGCACCCTGGAACCCTGCTTTGTGCCCCAGGACCTGCTCCCAACCCAGGACAGAGCGGCCGCCCCTCCCCCACACAGGGGCTCCGGTTTCAGACCCTGTGACCCGGGCAGCAGCTGCCCAGGACAGGGTGGGGGGGCATCCCTCCTCTGACCAAGGAGACCGCTCCGCGGGGGACCTCCCTTCCCCCACTTTGCCACCTCCCTTCCCCTGGCCCCTCCTGGTCCCCTACAGATCTCCCGAATTCAGGTTTTGCCGGCACAGAGGTGAGGGTCAGGAATTCTCCAGGGTAGCCATTCCTGGTTTCTGTAGGGTTGTGGCTAGAGGCACCAAGAGGGTCTGGGGAGCCCCCTCTCGCAATCCTTGATGCCACCCAGCCCTGCATGGTACTGGGATTGAGTGGGTATGGGTGATCAGGTAGTGGGTACCAGGATAAACTTGTCTGGCTACATCTTATCTTTTTAACTAGGCTGGGAGCTCCCTGGGGATTTGGACTCTGACTCCAAGGTGTGCCTCTGCCCTAGAGTGGAAGCTGAGGGGTCCCCCTGTGGGTTCTGGAGGGGACTGGCCTCCCAGTAGGCACCTGGTGCTGCCCCACATTTTGATGGAGATCCTGGTTTGGGGAGTGATGAGTGAATGTGGCAGAAAATACCAAGCAGGGGTTCACCTTAGCCTTCTCTACCTAGCCCCAAGATTGAGGGGGTGTCACTGGGGGTTCAGTAATCAGCATGCTGAGAAGTTTATGCTGGGATATCAGGGGCCACCTGGCTCCTCTCAAGAGAGCCATTTCCTGCTTGGGGTGTGTGGGGGCTTCCGCCAGATGGAGAGGGACAGGGTCTTTTTGCTCTGAGTGATCGATCTGCTGATTCCATTACCTTTTTGATTGGCATTCTGTGAATGGTGTCCTTGGCGGTAGGTCCTGAGTTTAGACCTGCTTGGTTTCCTTAAACCTGTCCTGAGGGACACTCACAAGCCCCCCCTCCCCACAGAGACTGAGCCGGCAGCTCCTGCTATCCCTCTGGCTGCCTCTTGGAGCCCACCCAGCCCAGCCTGACCAATGTCCACAGCCAGGTGAGCCCCTGCCTCCTCAGCTTGGTCCTGAGTCCCCTGGGGGATGCCCAGCCCCACTGAGAACGCTCTCCCCATGCAGGGAGCAGCCCATCTTCAGCACACGGGCACACGTGTTCCAGATTGACCCGGCCACCAAGCGGAACTGGATCCCCGCGGGCAAGCACGCACTCACTGTCTCCTACTTCTATGATGCCACCCGCAATGTCTACCGAATCATCAGCATTGGGGGTGCCAAGGTCCTGGCAGGGCCTGGGTGGGGTGGCAGACTCCTGGGGTCTCAGAGACAGGCCTGGGTCTGGTCATTACCTTGCTGTGTGCCTGGGGGGCTGGGGGTTGGGAGGAGCCCAGAAGCGGTCTCCCTCCTGAAATGGCTCACACCAGGGACCTCCCAGGAGCTAATACGATGTGACACCCTGGGGGTTTCGTGTTCATTATTATCCGTCTCATCAACAATTGAATTTTGTTCCCCCCCTCTCCCCAGGCCATCATCAACAGCACTGTCACCCCCAACATGACCTTTACCAAAACCTCCCAGAAGTTCGGGCAGTGGGCAGACAGCCGCGCCAACACTGTCTATGGCCTTGGCTTTGCTTCTGAGCAGCATCTGACCCAGGTGGGCTTGCAGGTGGGAGGGACAGGGCTGGGTCTGGGTCTTCTCCCAGGTACACTGGGGCCCCTGGTCAGGTGCTGCAGAATGGGCCTCAGAATTAGACAACCTTCCTGGTTCCCTGGTTCATGTCTCAGCTCTGCTGGCCACCTACTCCAATTTTGGACACACCCTGCCCTTCTCTGGGTGCCTGGCACCGGCTGGGAGTTCTCTCACACACCCTAGCACTACCTTCATCATTGCCTCGCTCCACCCACTGCTGTCTCCAGACTTCAATATTGTCTCATCCCATTGTTTCCCCCGATGGGTAGTGCTTTCTGATTCCTAATGAGATCATGAGGATTCTCTTTGCTTCTAGAAGCTTTCATTTTCCTTTCAGATTTAGGTCTTGAATCAATTTCTGTTGGTGGTAGAAGGCAGGAGTATTTTTTCCCACTGAGTATTCAGTTGCTCTTGGACCCTTTTTTGAGATGATTTCCTCCCCCCATCCCCAATGAATGGCACTGGCCCCTTTGCCCCGATCAAGGGACTGTCAGTGTGTAAACATTTTCTTTAAAAAATTATTCTCCAACTAAAGAAATCTATTTTAAAATGAAAAACAGTGTATCCTACCCACCCTAATTGGAAAACCGGTATCAGTGGCAAACATTAATACAGTAGGAATGAGAACAGGGCAATTTACGTTCTCACTGGGTACAGGTGTCCTCTCAGAGGCTCTGAGCCAAAGACCTGCTTTCTCTTTGTTATAAAAAGATAGTCACAAGTGTCCCGGGCATTAAAGACAGCAACCACCTGAGGCTCTCCTTGCTGAAATAAGCCTGACGGAGAGGAAAAGCAAGCCCTTTCTCAAGGTGGTTCCATGTAATACACTTCCGTGAACACCCCACCCCCACCATGATGCTCAGTCTGCTCACCAGGACAACGTTTTCCAAGGCTTCTGACCACTCTTCCAGTTCATGAGATGAGAGGATATTCATGGCTCCTAAAGCCCCTTCCTAAGTGACAGGGCTGGTGCTGGGTGGGGGTGACCAAGTGGGGCCCCGGGAGAGGGGGCTGGGTTTTCTTTGATTATTTGTTTTGTCCCCCCTCCCCCCAGTTTGCTGAGAAGTTCCAGGAAGTAAAGGAAGCAGCGAGGCTGGCGAGGGAGAAATCTCAGGATGGGGGGGAGCTCACCAGTCCAGCCCTGGGGCTCACTGCCCACCAGGTCAGTACTCCCTGTCCCATGCCTGCCAGTCACTCAGTTGATACTGAGGGTTGGTGCTGTGCGGGTGCCTAGGACCAAATGCTCACAGATCATGTAAAACTAGACCTACAGCAGGAGCCTTGGAGGGAGCACTTCCTGGGGTCTGGCCTAGCATTGAATCACAAAAGGCCTGGAAACCAGCTTAGTTGGCAGAGTAAAAACCTGGAGGTTGAAATAGCTAAGTAGGGGCCAGGCGGCAGAGTGAAAAACTGTCCTGGGAGCTTTCCCCCATTAATTTATTCAGCATAATTTACTGCCCACCTACTGTGTGCCAGGCCCAGGGCTGGGAAAGAGGGTTACAGAGATGAAAAAGCAGGCTCCTGGTGCAGGCAGTGAATTCACTCAGCCTGGTAGAGGGCTTCCTGTCTGAATCTTAAAAGCATGTTGAAATTTGGCCCCAGGGAAGGGCATTGCTATGAGGGGATAGCACAGATGTTTCACAGTGCTCCCCTGACCTTTGCAGATTTTGAATATGTCAGTGGGTTTATTTAGACTAGCCTGCATCAGGTGTGCTCCTGGGGGCTTGGTGAGAGCCCAGGCAGGCAAGGTGGGGGTACAGTTCCTGAAACTCTGGCCCAGGGGTCATGGGGAGCCATAGAGGGTGGATGAGGAGAGGAGGGCCTTCGCTCGCATCCCAGCGCTGGAAAGGACAACAGCCCCGACCCCAACCAGGACCTAACCGGTCCTTGACCGAAGCGACCCCCAGTGTGACCCCGATTTTACCCACACCCTTAGGTGCCCCCAAGTCCTCTCGTCAGCGCCAACGGCCCCGGCGACGAAAAACTGTTCCGTAGCCAGAGTGCGGACGTCCCCGGCCCCGCCGAGCGCGAGCGGCTCAAGAAGATGCTGTCCGAGGGGTGAGGGGGTTAGGGCGGGCACAAGGTGTGGCGGGACGGAAGGCGCCGAGAGGACCTTCTCTGAAGCCGGTGCGGCGCGACGGGCCGCGGGATCTGACTGTGTACCCAAGGCCCGGGAAGGCCAGGGGGCTGACTCGGGTCCTGCCCCTTCTGGAGCGGACCTCGCCCCTCGAACGCCCTCCCCCTTTGACCACGCCTTCTAGGGGCGGACCCTGCCTCGACCACGCCTCCCCGATAAAATTCAAAACCCACCCGGGCCTCCCGGGCCTCCCAACCCTCACCCGGTTCTGAGCCCGCCCCGATGGGCTGACCCCGCCCCCCGGCAAGACCGCGCTCGTCCGGGATGTCCCCACCCATGGCCCCGCCCCCGGCACCGCCCCACCCCCTAGCTCCGCCCCGCCCTGCCCCTGTCCCCTACCCGGTGCGGCCCGGCCTCGCCCCCGCCAACCCCCGCGTCCCTGCAGCTCGGTGGGCGAGGTGCAGTGGGAGGCCGAGTTCTTCGCGCTGCAGGACAGCAACAACAAGTTGGCGGGCGCCCTGCGAGAAGCCAACGCCGCCGCCGCCCAGTGGAGACAGCAGCTGGAGGCCCAGCGGGCCGAGGCCGAGAGGTTGAGGCAGCGGGTGAGGGGACCCCTTCCAGAGACTCCAAGTGGCCCCGGCAGGCAGCTGGGGAGCCCCTGCCTCCGCATGTTCTCTCCGTCCTGGGTTCACTGCCTGGCTGTGTGATCTCTGCAGGTCGTTTCCCTGAGCCTCAGTTTCTTGTTCTGTATTATGGGTCTGAGAGAATGCCAACCTTTGTCAAACCCTAAAGTCCTACCTGCTGCGAGGTGGTAGCCCCAGTCATAGGGGGTGAGTGCCTTGTCATGGGTGTGACGGAGCAAGGGACAGATTCCCCAGGGGTCAGGAGAGTGCAGGCTTTGGTGTCAGGGGCTGACTTTCCTGTGTGCACAGGTAGCTGAGCTGGAGGCCCAGGCAGCCACCGAGCCCCCCTCAGTCAGTGAGAAGGAAGGGCCAGGTCAGTCGCTGGAGCAGCTGGAGGCATTGGTGCAAACCAAGGACCAGGTGAGCACTGAGCATGTGTCCCTGGGCTTCATCTTCCCTGACCTCCCACAGGGGAGCCAGGACCCCCAGAATAGACCCT